TATATATATATCCGTTTCAAATTTTCCGCAGTTGATTCTTTGAGAATGATTTTTTTTTCATTTAGAATGAGATCATAACAAACAAACATGCATCATCTAGCGCCCCTCATTAAACGTACCATATTTTTGTTGATCCTTCATGCTCTATGGGGACAGAGATACTGCTGCCTGCATTCCGTGAGCTGCATCAGTTGTCATGAGCAAGGCGACAAAAAAATCATACGAAAAAAAGAACGAAATAATAGATGAACGGAGGTTGATCACATAATAGGCCATAATGGACTCTTATAGTTCATCACTGAATGTTTAAAATTGACTCATCATTTAAGACAACACATCAAAAATCTTCAAATGAATGAAACACCAAAACAATGAATGAAACACATCTGTGATCAACACCAAAAAGCACTTCTACATATTCAAGATAAAAAGTAACTAAAATGAAAGCCAAACTGCCGGCAGTACAGAAGTGACTTATAGGGATGTTACCTGTTCAATTTTCTTCTTAAAAAAAGAATTTAATAAAGAAATTCAATTTAGAGCTTTCTAAACTGAAAACAAAACTTTCTCTAAAGAGTGAAGTGAAGAGCTTTCTCTAAAAAAAAGCTCCAAATTAAATTTTCCCTTAAAATACTCGTGTTTACGTTTGTGTGAGAAAGCTTTTACCATAGCTGAGCAATAGAACGATGAACAATGAACACCGAATCGATGCTAATCATTAGTCATGAAGAACATAAAGCTGATCGTACTTGAACGAAATGTTCTGGTACCGTTTTCACTAGTTTTTATTGATGTTGTGCTATTAAAATGGGTTGTAACATGTTTATAATATTGGACTAAGGCGTTTTCTAATCGGAACTGCAGCCATTCACAAACATTCAGCTCGAATTCCTTTTTTCAACAAAACAGGAACGTTGAAAACAGAAATTCTAATGAGCACAGCATAGCGCAGCTGTACTTTAGAACACCGTGAAAAGCGGACGGAAGCAAAGAGAATTTGGAATGCAACTTTCGTTTAAGTAACTATCATCTAGCATGATCACTCAGTTAATGGGCGCTCGACGTTTACGATGTAAACAATGCTCAATGATGAGGAAACGCTCAGTTTGGTTTCTGACTTGGTTGTGAATTGATGAGCATTCCTTCTGGAAGGTGATCGAAATTTATCATTGTTGATGCTCACTGGTCATTCTTATGTAAAAAAGCTCCAACGAACGTTTTGTTTCTTCTGAAACTGAAACTGAAATTAATTATGATTAATCGAGCAGAGATTAATGATGCATGTGATAGATGATGATCATAGGAAATGGTTCTTGCTACCGAACGCCACAAAAACTGGTCTTCTGTCCATAAGCCAATATTTTTTCTTGATAAAAGCATGGTGCATGCATTATTCATTTTTGATTCCACTTTATCAAACCTAACGAAGCAACTGGAAAAAAGGGCAAGAAAAAGCAGCATTGAATCATTCAGCGTTTCATACATTGTTGCATTCTCGAAGATATGAGGAACATCAAACTAATTGAAATTTATCATCTGTTCTGAATGAGATAACATAACACGAATGCTCTTCCTTCTGTTGCAGAACGTCACCATAGCGGGCGTGTAGTTGACAAGATGAAGGGCGACATTAGAAGGGAAATATGAGAGGACAACGACTAATGGTTTAGGAAACAAGAATATAAATATCAATAAATGACTGGTACAAACGCTTGGAACGTTTTAGTTTGAATTTTGATGGAATGAATGAACAGTCAATGTTGGCGTTTTATTTTTTTTTTCAATGATCCATCAACAAGAAATTATAGATTTGATTGGTTATGTCATATAT